AAGCCCACAACCCGGGCATGTGCCCTGACTGGGAATCGAACCCCAATCGCCTAGATCCTGGGTCGATGCTCAACCTCTGAGTCACGCCCGGCCGGGCCAGGTCCAGTTTTAATCCCCACTGCATTGATCTAGACTTTACTGCTGTCAGATACTAAGGTTCTGTATAGATTTGGTTTTATTTTGGACTTTTTCTCTTCTGTTTATTTATTCATGCACCAGCTTTAATCATTGCCTTTATTGTTTTTTAACATAAATAAATTGAAAGTTTTATTTGTTTAAAGCAGTTATGAGGGAAGATGTGCTTGGCCCATGATCTTTCTGCCCTTACTACATGGAGTACAAGTAATTTAAAAGATGAAAGTCCTGTTGACACTAGAAGTAAGAGGAGTGAGGGTGGTCAAAGCACTGACGGAAAGAAGCCCCTGGGAAATGTGTGGTTGGGGGCGAAGGTCTAGGAAGGCAGTGGTAACAGTCTCCCTAAAACTTGTATGTAGAATGGATGTAGCATTTGTTCCTTAATTTATTCAGAAAGTATTGATTGACTGCATTGGACTATTTTTGGTATTATTGGTGATTTTAATAAAGTTTTTTTCAGGTTGAAACTGCTTCTTAAAAAGCTGGTCAATCTATAAGATAAACATGATTAACCACCACCCAATAAAAAAAAAAAAAGGAGAGAAAACTTAAAAAAATAGACCAAGTGTCATTAGAAAAAAATCAGTTGTGCCCGGCTGGGCGTGGCTCAGTGGTTGAGCATCGACCTAGGATCCAGGAGATCGAGGTTCGATTCCCGGTCAGGGCACATGCCCCGGTTGTGGGCTCGATCAATGACTCTCTCATCACTGATGTTTCTCTCTCTCTCTCCCTCTGCTGCCCTCTCTCTGAAATCAATAAAGGTATATAAAAAAATTTTAAAAAAGAAAGAAAATCAGTTGTTTTTTATTTTAAGAAACAATATAGCACAATGCCTACATTTTCAGTGCTCAATATTTGAACAAATGAAAAAAATACAGTGTTTTCCCTTTCCCCCCACTGTCTAAGTGGCCTAAGATATCATAGAGCTCTGGCTCCCAGCTCACTGTTGGCTGGACTTGATGTCATAACAGGTGTAATTACTGGCATTTCGACCTAATGGGAAATAATGCATTCATTCTCAGTAGGTTTTTTGGCTTTGGGGCAGAAGTGTATCTGAAATCTTATGCCAAGCTGTTCTGATTCTCGGATTGGCAGCCTTTGGTGGAAGAAACAGTAAAAGGACTTATCATTACTAAATAAGTGCGGTCTGTCCGAAAGACCGGTCCTCGAAACGTGATATGCATAGGAGAGAGAAAGCAGACCCACAGTCAGAAGTGCGAAAGGTTGGAGAGTGTCCAGCCTCTCGTTTTGTGAACCCGAGAACTGAAGCTCGGGTGGTTTCATAACGTGCCCTAGTGGGCTGGAGGGAGCGAAAGCTTGAACGGGCGCCTTCTGACTCCAAGGTCTGCATTTGACCCTTGTAGACAACATGTTTATTTGTAGATCTATCACTTTGCTGATAATTAAGAAAAAATGAATGATATTTTGAAAGGAATTCCACTAAGATTAAGTATGTATTTTCTTGAATGTTTTATATATCATGCACCGGAATTATTTCTTAAGAACGTTTCATAACATGGAAAATGTCCAGATGATTGTTTCAGATACCAGTTTGATATTTGGGTGGATCATGTAAAAACACTAAAATGGCTGAGAAAGCATGTGAAATGTTTGTTTTAACAATGGAGCAGCCATCTGTATGACATGATTTTTCTTAAGATGGAAAAAACTTTAGTAATAGCTCATTTTAAGAAACACTCAACAGGCTTTTGGGGTGATGTTATTCAAGTGTATTGTTTTATTCCAGGCTTTCTGGTTTGTGTTAAGATGATTTATAGACTTGCAGAGCTGCAGGAGATTTTCAAGTTCCTCTTGTCTAATTCGTTTTACAGACGAGGAAAGCAGGGTTAAGAGGCTACCGGCCACTGCAACTCGAACTTGGATAGTGTGGCTCCAGTCTAGTCCATTTGCCACTATGCTATTATTGTGGTCTTTTCTTTGTCACATTTTGTGCTAAGACAAATGTAAGCCTTTTTTTGTTGTTATTGCTATTTTTTTAAATTACTTTTTTTTAGAGAACTTCTTTTAAAAAATATATCTTTATTGACTTCATAGAGAGAGAAAGGGGGAGAGGGCGAGAGAGAAACATCAGTGATGAGAGAGTTGTCTTTGATCCGCTGCCTCCTGCACACCCCCCGCTGGAGACTGCTCTGCAACTAGGCATGTGCCCTGACCCCGAGTCAGACCGTGATCTCCTGGACCCTAGGTCGACGCTCAACCCCTGAGCCACGCCGGCCAGGCGTGAGAAGTTTTAGATTTATAAGAAAATAGAGAGGGAGATTCAGACATTTCCTGTGTACCTCCTGTCCCCATAGATGCATAGCCTCCCCATTATCAACATTTTCCTATAGTTTAATTTTCAGAAGTTTCCTTCAAATTTTGCATTATTGATTTTTGTCTCCATTTAAATAGTGTAAGTGTATATTTCACTTAAAAAGTGGTCAGCCCAGCCGGGCGTGGCTCAGCAGTTGAGCATCGACCTAGGATCCAGGAGATCGAGGCTCGATTCCCCATCTGGGCACATGCCCGGGTTGTGGGCTCCATCCCCAGCAGGGGGCGTGCAGGAGGCAGCAGATCAATGACTCTCTCATCATTGATGTTTCTGTCTCTCTCTCCCTCTCCCTTCGTCTCTCTGAAATCAATAAAGATATATTTAAAAAAAAAAATAGGTACAGGGACATAAAGTACAGCATGGGAGATAGAGTCAATAATGTGGCTTTTTTTTTTTTTTTTTTT